AGATGGACGATTTGTGGCGGAAGAACGAGAAGGAAAGATCCGAAGGGTTTGACCATCGGACTTGATCTAGGCGTGGTAAAGATAATAGGTTATGCAAAGATTGTTTCAAAGCGGATATTCCATTCGCCTGATATTATAAAATAGATTTTCAACAACATTTTGACAATTTTGTGGGGGAGATACCAGAAGGAGGAGTGGCCCGATATTCTCCATCTTCAAACTTGATTTAAATTTGGAATAAATATTACGATGTGCAAGGTTTGAATGAAATAGGTTACTCCAATCGAAAGTGATTGTGCGCACCAGCCGGACATACAGAGGGACATTTGTAAATCGACTCCAAATTGTCTGAAACGGAGTTGGTCCAAAGTAACTTTTAGTCATAAGGCTCATTGCATAAATTCGGTTGGTTCGGTTATATTTTCAATACACATGTTTTTGGTATACTTAAGGTCCAATCCTAATTTTCTAACCTTAGATCTTCCATATAGACCACAAAGGTGTGGATTTTTAAGGGGAAATTTTTAGCATCTACCCCAAAAGCATAGATTTTTATGTAATATATCTAAAAATCCATATTGATCATAAATGCGGAGACTTTTTTAAGTTTTTGGAGCCTCCATATCGACAGTGAAAAACGTGTATTTTGAATAATCCGATTTAATTGGCACTATAAAATGTACTAGTGATCACAAACAAGTGGCTGTATTGGTCCACTTTTTATATAAAATCAAACTAAATAATATATGAACCGAAACTGAATCGATTTACATTAAACACGATTTAGGGTAAATATCAGTCGTCTTCATCATGACATTCAGCCCTCCATACACCGACTATAATCGATAGTTGAGCATTATAGTTCATCTCAACAACAACACCAACTATAACGACATCTTAATCAGTTCACACACAAGTCTCCTAAACAAAAATTAAATGTCTACGCCATTGAGTCCAAGAGTAGGGACTGTTGCGGCTAGCTGTCAGTTTTATCAGTTTCACTTTGTTGTTATTGTTGTTTTCAAATACAAACATATTTGTTGTAATATTTAACACGACTGCAGTAATCTCGCACAGACGGAATAATACCGAAAGACAGACAGATAATTTTTCGCAAAACAAAACAAAATAATAAACAAAAACGATGTTAGACAAACTGCTGTAACACCATTTCCATTAAAATTACTTAACAGCTAATGATGACACTAATTTATTAATAATTGTCACAAATTGTTTACAAAAAATGAGTCTCTAATGAGTCAAACATTTTTGTTTATAGCTCTATCAGCATATTCACTTTCGTTTGTGTGCCAATACAATTGTCGCCAATCCAACGAATTGTTTTCTTATCAATTGTTATTTAATTTTAAAATCACGAGTTTTTGATTTTTTGCAAATATCACACATTATTCGAAATGCATTTAGAACAAAAATATTTATTCAACCTTGTCGAACTCAAATATGAAAGTGAAAATAGATTTTAATTACTGTAGCTGGGACAGTAGTTGTACAACATACATATTAAAACTTTTACTTTGGAGGTGGATATCAATTTTACCCCTTCGTTTGAGTTTATTTATTATATGATGTAACATTAAGTACATTCAAAATTCTTTAAATCGGCCCGGGCTTTATATGGGGTCTATGTTATTGCATTATTTAGATGTAGATTTTTCACACTCCGAAAAAAAATATTGTTCAAAATTACAGACACTTCGGATAGAAAACTAGTATAGGAACTTCAATATACCGAAATTTAAGCGGGACATTTATATGGGAAGTAAAGCAATTACCTATATAGACAAAAAAATTCTGGATATAAGTTTTTTATTCACCATGATATGCCGATATGCCAAATTATAGCCACTTCAATGAGAAAATTCGGAATTCCAATATCCCGGAATGTCAAAATGAAAAAACAAAATTATGTAAATAAATTTAAAGCAAAATATCGAAATCTAAACCGATTTCATCGAAACTTGTCACATGTTACACTTATTTCAGTATATTTGTGCATTTTGAGTTCTTCATATAAAGGGACTTTGGTGCATTTATATCAAAATCTAAACCGATTTTCACTAAAGTTAACACACATCTTTCTAAACGTAATTCAGTACGCTATGCCAAATTTCGTGCAAATCAAAGTATATATAGGGTCTTTGGTGCACCATTTACATAAAATCGGACGAAAATATAAATGGGAGCTATATCTAAATCTGAACCCTATTTCAATAGGGATCGTCCTTGTGCCAAATAAATGAGCTGTGTCAAATTTCATCAAATTCGGATAAAAAATGCTACCTGTACTTTTTTTACAATTTAACATGTACAGACAGACGGACGGACGGACGGACATGCATAAATCGACTCAAAACGTGATTCTAAACATATTCTCAAAAGGAACCATTTGTCTATCTCGTTTCCTTTTGCCTGTTACAAACCTATGCACAAACACATAATACCCTGTACCACAGTGTGGTAAAGGGTATAATTATAAAATCAAATTAGACCGAATGCGTTTTAAAAACATGACACAACATCCTAAAACATTATATGGCGACTACCCGGAAACTTCAGCATATTGATAATTTTTGGTTGTACAGGTTTTCTACTATATAAGAATCCAAAATATAAAATTACAAATAATTTGGTTGAAGCACGTGTCCAAGCTCCCCAAAATACTAAAATTCGGGATGTCAATTAGAGAAAATCCGGTTAAAAACGAGCCCAAATCCCCCCAAAATACCGAATAATGGGAGTTACCCGAAAATATAGGCCAATATAGATAATTTTTAATATGGAATTCTACTCAATTAGATCAAAAGTTTTTAATTGCTCGTAAATTGGTTGAAATATGCGCTCAAGGTCCCCAAAAGGCGATCTTTGGGATATAACGTTATATGGGGGCTTCCCTAAAAGGTGGACCAACTACTGATTATTACTACTACTGATTACTGATTTACTACTATCATACTACAGCCCAAAATAACAAATAAAACCTAATTTGGTTGAAACATGTAACCAAAAACATCAAAATACCGAATATTGGGGGGCACCAAAACATAAGTCAATATTTATAAATGACCGTATTCAAATCTGATACCCAACGTGAATCCAAAAAAGTGGACCCATATTTATATTAATTACGTAATGAGAACCAAATTACAGCAAATTCAATTGAAAAACTTTAAAAAATCGCCATAATACCGAATATTTGGGGGTACCTTTATATGGAGGCTATACCAAAACGTGGACCGATATCTCTCATTTGTATTACCAACCATCCTAGGAGTAATAACAATGCTACTGCATTTCAATATTTCGATCAGGCACATTTCAGCCGTATCAAAGTGTATATACCCTCATTAGTCATAAGACTGAGGGTGAGGGTATATAAATAACATGGCAAAATTCATAACGTACCAGTGAGAAAAGGCTATTGGAAAATTTATTATTCCATTGACTACCCTTTTATCCGATAAAAGATAGGTCAGATGTCACATCGTATCTATGAAAAATTTTGATATAAAAATAACTTTTAATCGCGTAGTCTTAAATCCTCGGCCGAATGCCAGCTATTGAGAAAACAAATTATTTTAATTATTTTTTTTTTTCATGCATTATCCGAATTGTCTGCTTATCCCTTGGAGATAGTTTTAAACCCCCGCTGAAAGCCGGTTATTTTGGATATTTGTTTTATTAAAACGAATATTACCTTCATCGGACCACAAACGACGAAGTTGTGAGCATAGAAATTTCGGAAGTTCAGACGTCCATATCTCGGGGAGTGAGACGAGATCTGCCTGTGGTAAACATTTCAGTAAAATCTGAAATGAACCCTAAACGCAAAGAAAAAAATGTTTTAACAACTTAGTTTGACAGGTGTCGATTTCCAGTCCACCTTTTCCAAGCCACCTATTACCATTTATCTCAACAGTGCACACCAACTTTGAGTCTAATACAAAATTTGAGATCAATTTTAAAATTCACAAAATTTAGTATTAGTACTTCCTTATCTAAATCCTACACACCAGATGTGCGTAGAACTTATCGATCAATTTTAGTTCGGTTCCCCACTCCTTATGTTAGTCTTCATACTAAAGGTTCTAGATCCATTCGTTTATCAATAATCAAATGCAGTACATTTAATGCATGTCGTTCACTTTCTTTCGCAGCATTTATGGCCCTCGTTCTAAATTTCATAGCTACCAAAAATCAATATTCAATATACAGTCGAAATCGTTTATATCGACGACCAAGGGACCGGCGAAATTGGTCGGTATATGCGATATGTCGCTACGAACGATATCAATTATAGGGCAAAACATTTATCGGGACTTTTGGCTATGTTTCTATTCCGTTTATAATTTTTAAATATTTTTTATATTTTACTAGTTAAAAAGTAAATGCATAAAAATTCAACCACTTATAAATATTTTACTCCCTTCACTGGAAATGGTGTAACCAGCTATTATAGAGTAAGTCAACAATAGTTACGCTTTCAATGCATGACTAGTGCTGTTTGCCTCTTTACAATCAATTAGCGCAACTGTCTTTAGTCACAATTAGCTTTGCGTTGTGAAAACAAGTCAATTTTGTTACCAAGCTGCACAAAAAAAGGGGGACAGCAGCAGCCACGAATTTTTTGAATTTGCAAATTAAAAACAACAACAAATTTTTTTAACTAATATATTATTTCCTTTCGTTTAGCTTTATTATTATCATTATTGGAATCTCATTTAACACAATTTGTTTCTTTTTCTTTCAAGTTTTAACAATTAACATAACGAGGAACGAGGTCGTTTTTCTGCTACTTCATCCTCTCTGTTTTCTTTTCCTGGGAACTCGTTACACATTTACAATTAAATTACATACATTTATATATATATATACAAATCTCTTTTTCTTTATAAAAAACAGATTATTTGTGTGATGGTTTGTTTGTTTGATTGAAGACCACAGCCATTAATGGTGGCATTTGTCCGTCCTTCTCTTTTTGGCTTTACAATCACAGATCCTTTTTGGCGGCAAAGTTGAAATAGGCCTGATTCAATTGTTCGAGGAAAATGAATGTCAGCACAGTGTGTGGACCCAAACGGCAGTAGTAGGGTGTGAAACCCTTCCAGAGAGCAAAGACACCTTCTTGGCGCAATACACGACCCAAGACGTCGAAGGTACCACGATATTCGGGCTTACCATCGACATATTTCTGATTTTGGATGCGAGTCTTGGCCATATCCAAGGGCATGGAGGCAATTGTGGTCAGCAAACCGGACAACATACTGGCACAGAAATGCAATTTGATACCTTCTTCCATTTGCAATGGTCCCTTGCGGAAGTAGGTTTTGAATTGTGAATAGGAGGCAAGTTGAGTCATGTTGACGACCATGGCACGGCCAACGGTGGGAAGACTGCCACGCCATAATGTGGCCAAACCTTCTTCGGTGGTGATGCGTGTCAGGGCATTGAAAACATTCTTGTAGTTACGTCTTTCGGCCAAAGGCAGACGACCATCGGAGGCCATACGCACGAGAGCAACTTCGGCGGGGGTGCCAATGAAGGCACCACAAGCTCCAGCAATAACACCCATCAACATACTAGCCGATACATTGGGATCCTTGTTGAAATAGGTCTTGTAGGCATCGTTTAAGTACGAGAACATGCCCAAACGACCGGTGGTGTATGTGGCCTGACGTAATAGAGCGGCGCCAATACCCTGATACAAACCCAAAGGACCCTCTTTGCTTATCACAGTCTGCATGCAGTGGAAGGAGTTGCGGAATTCTTTTTTGCCACTGCCGGCACCGGAAATTTGCATGCGTGTCTTGACCAAATCAAAGGGTTGCACAATCATGGTGGCACCCATGCCGGCTCCACCGCCAAATACAAATTTCAAACCATTTGGAATGCTTTTGGCTGGTGTGGACTGTTGTTGTTGCTGTTTTTGTTCTTGTTGTGGTTGAGACATTTTGTCGCCTATTGGGATGTAAGCTTCCTCGGGTGTTGTTGTTTTTGTAGTTTTTTTCTGTATTTATTGTCAAGTATTTCGTCGTTGTAAGGCCGCAGCAGCACCACTTTCTATCAGTTGTTGTTGTTTTGTTGTAAAATGCTCAGATGACACCAGAACCAAAATCAAAACACTAAAATGAAAATAAAACGTAACAATTACACCGTGTTGAAGAAACAACAACACCAAATATCTATGCACCGACCAACAAATATTTGGCAAAGAAAAAGTTATGAATTTTTGCAATAAATCGATAATCCAGTTGCTGACTGGCTGGTCGGTTGATTATGGAACGAGCATACGGCTACGGACAAACAACAGCAAACCAAAATGACATTGGCAAAAATATGACAGTTGTTAAATAATACTCGCTCGCTTGCTGCTCTCCACCAATGTCAGGTCATATGGTTTGCATGTTTGGAGTCTCCGCTCCGCTGCCACCTCCTCACTTACCTCTTCTCCCACAACCGCGCGCAAAAAAACAATGAGGCAAAAATATTTCAATAGGGGACCGTATGACTTGTCTGCGCAAGCGAAAAACAAACTGTCACTATGGACGAAGAGTATCGTACTGAATGAATGACTCGGTCGGACTCTCAATACATGGCCCCCACATCATCATCATACTGCTCACAAAACACACAGTTGCTCCACAACAAAATGTTGATTGCTGGCTGACGGGCTGGCACTCAGGTTGTTTTCTGCTCAGCGACAATGCGTATATACAGAAATACACTCAGCAGTAGATTGTTGTTGTTTTGTTGGGGCATCATACACACAAACACACCCATTTTATTTCGTTCGTTTTTCGTCTACGTCATAACGCGATTATATTTAGATCGCCACCGTCGTCACAATCAGACTCCAACAATAAAAAAACTCAAATGAATTGTAGAATGGAATAAAAGAAAACAACAAAAACAAGATCAAATCAAATGAAACGTCATCAACAGCAACGACAATGACAACCGGCGACAATTCCCACTGCACTTTGTTTAGGCGAAAACAGCTGTTTTATCAGAGAGAAGAGAAATAGGAACAACAAAATATCCATCTGTCAAATGAATGAGGGAAAACAACAAAGAATGTAAGAGAGTAAACTGTGTGAGAGATAGGAATGAAGTAATGAGAAATTGAGAATTATAAACGGGGAAACAACGTGTACATTAGAGTAGTTCGAAAATTGAATGAGTTTTTTGGTGGTTTTATTTTTTATTATTATGGTCAGGGATGGTAATGTATTATTTATTTAAAAGGTATACAAATTGAACAAATAATAGATTATAACGTTGATGGAAGAGGAAAAGTGATTTAACAATTAATAGTGGGATCGATCAAAATCGGTGAAAATAAATCATATAATTATACCATTATCCACCACAAGTTTTAGTGTATTTTAGAAATTTCATTGCAACACATCAAAATATTCATCCGAGACCTCATTAAAAACTCTTGATTAGAATAAAATTCTATGTCGATTTTACCATGTCCGAATGTTTAAATCACGATTGAGCTTTGAAATTTTGCACATAACTTTTTAATACTCCTAAGATGTTTGGTATTGAAAATGGATATATTAGTACCCCGATATGCGGTATTTTTAGCTTTTAAGCACGTTTTTCATCAGGAACGGGTTTCGAGTAAAAAGTTACAAAACTTGTAAAATTAGTAGATTCTTTTAGGTTCTGGAACGGAACTATTATGTGTTTTTTGCAACTCCATCTTTGTTATGAATAGAGACAAGAGAACAATCCAAACCATGGACTGAAGCTGGAGAAAGTGCCACAAAGAAGGCAAAAACAATTCAATCGGCTGGTTAGGTTACGGCAACGGTTTTTTTGGGACTACAAAGGTATTTTATTGATTGATTATCTGCAAAAGGGTAAAACAATAAATTCAGAGTTGCAACCTTTTGGATCAATTAAATGTACAAATTCGAGAAAAACGTCCTGGCTTACAACACAAAAAATAATTTTTCATCAAGACAACGCACCATCGCTCAAGAGTGTTTTAACAATGGCTTAAATCAACGAATTTGGATGAACCGATAAAGCTGGAATATTAAAAATTTAGAATCAAGATTACTGTTGGAGAGTATAATGAAGGTACGCAGGATTTTTTTTTTTTTTTTTGAAAATTCGTACTTATGTGTACTAAGTGGCACTAAAGTTGGTACAATTTGAATTTAAGGTGAACCAATAGAGAAATCCTGAAATTGGGATTGTATGTTGTAGGTAGTAATAGAAATTTGTACGTATGCGTACAAAATGGTACTAAATAATGCTGAAATTAAGATATACAAGTACGAGTTGCTTGACCACCACCCACCTTATTTTCCTGATTTAAATCCCAGTGACTTTTACTTGTTCCTAAATCTAAAAAATCCTTGCTGGCAAGTATTTTAACTCAAATTAATGATTACAGTTGTAAACCGTTATTTTGAAGACCTTGAAGAAAACTATTTTATTCAAGGGATAGAATTGCGAGAAAAGCGTTAGACTAAGTCTATTGAAGTTTCAGGAGATTATATTGAAAAATAAAAATATTATTGAAAAACTAACTATTCTCTTTCATTGATAGGCTAAGAAGTTTTCGAACCGCCCTCGTAATCAGCTACAATTTCGAATTTTTTGTTGTCAGTGGGTGGAAATTGTTCCTACTAAAATGATCAATAGTAGTCCACTTTTTAGGGTAGCCCCCTTAGTACCCTCAATTTTCGGAATTACATCATGAGTAGTAATTTGGTATTTAGGGTTCACACGGCTGAATCTAGAAATTTAGGGCGAAGGTCACTCTTTGTCCAAAGGTGACAGATAGGGCTGGGTTTTTGGAAATACGTGCTAGAAGGGCTCGATAACTATGATAACATTTGTATTTGGCGAACCGGTAGAGCTAGAACCCTTAAACTTGAAACAAGAGTCACTGATGGAATGTAGGAAAGATGTATCCATTTTTTTTAAATTCGAATTACAAGTATCAGAAAAATACTAAAATTTGGTAGACTTTAATAGGCAGTGGATTTTGAAATTTGGAATGTGAATTAAGGTTACGAAGTAGGGTGGGTAAAGAAATTGGTTTTGAAAGCGTGTACTCATGTAGAAACTAAATAAAGCTGGAATCCTGAAATTTGAAATTAAGATTACTGTCGGAGTGTAGGATATCGATATGTAGGTAGTTTTAGAAATTTGTACTTATGTGTACGAAAAGTACTAAATGATACTATATTTGGTACAATTTGGATTTGGGTGAACCAATAGAGCTGGAATTCTGATATTTAGGTTTAGAAACACTGTTGCAGTGTAGGATTGGAGTTTTTAGGAAATTTTGGGACGTCGTATTATTTGTGTATTAAATTTGGTACAATTTGAATTTAAGGTGAACCAATAGAGCTGGATTTTTCGAAATTTGGAGTTAGGATCCCTGTTAAGTGTAGGGTTGGATTATGGATGTAGTGGATGTAGATTAATAAACCGATATATCTGGGATCCAGAAATTTGTAAATTTGTTGGGTTTTAGAATTGGGGTGTATAGGAAGTTTAGCAAAATTTGTGGATTTGGGCAAACCAATATAGCTGGATTCTTTAAATTTGAAGTTAGGATCACTGTTGGGGTGTAAGATTGGCCTATGTAGGAAGTTTTGAAAATTCATACTAGTGTGTACTAAATTTTGTACAAATTACATTTTGGGTGAACTGATAGAGATTTCCGTTGTTTGTGTGTGTAAATTTGGTACAATTTGAATTTTAGGTGAAACGATAGAGCTGAAACCTCGAAATTTTTAACATTGAGATATGTAGGAAGTTTTGGAAATTCGTACTAAATGGTACTAAATTCGGTACAATATGGATTTGGGAAAACAGATAGGGCTGGAACCCTGGAATTCGAAGATAATTGAATTTTGTACTAATGTGTAACAAATGGTGCTTAATTTGATACAATTTGGATTTAAGTGATCCGATAGGGCTGGAATCCTGAAGTTTGGAATTAGCTCATTTTTAAAGAAAACCAAATATGACAATAAGAGAACATCCCTTATCTCAAATTACCTTCCATATAACGTTAACGACCCATTTTCGGTATATGTATATATATATATATCCTTCGATTTGCACGAAATTTGGCACAGGGTACTGAATTAAGTCTAGAACGATGTGTGTAAAATTTTGAAAACCCCTTTTTAGATATAGCTCCCATATATATGCTATATCCGATTTTAGGTAAATATGCACCAAAGTATATATGTTCGATTTGTACGAAATTTGGCATAGCGTATGAATTAATTCTAGAACGATGTGTGTTAAATTTTGCAAACAGTTCAGATTTGGATATCATATATATTTTTGTTTTTTTCAGGTTCTAATGAGACCCTATATATCCAAAATTTCCTGAAATTTGGATTTTTAAGTTAATGAAGAATCAAAATGTTCCGAATGCAAATGTTTTTATTATTTAATACAAACATGTGACAAGATTTGATGAAATCATATATACAGAATATTATCAATTTTTTTTTGACATTGCCCTCATATAAGAGAAGCATCCCTATTGTCAGTATTTTGGGGATTTGCAGAATGACATTTTAATTTAATTTGAAATTTTTGCTCAAAAATTGCCTATATATTCCATCTGTTGAATGGTGAAGTGAATAAACTCCTTCCAGACTGGTTTTTAATTTTAGAAGTTTTTTTAATCAATGTATTTTTTTGTCCTGAAAACCATTTTAAGTTCTTGGTATTTGTGCTTTTTACAATTAGCTATCCTGCCAAAATTCAACGGCTGTTCATTTCATTTTCGTTTAAAATTTACTGCCTAAGTTTTTATTAACTAAATAATACACTTTCTAAAATTACCACCCTAATATTCACAAAAACATATAAATACTCTTCACCAAAATAGCGGCCCGGTAAAACAACGCGTATTTATCTACACCATCGTAAAGATGCAGACCCCCTCCCAAAAAATACAAAACTAAA